TAGTGTCTGGATCTGTACGAATTATATATAGCATACGGATGTGGAGTACGCGTCCAAGATCGTCCGTCACGTTGCTTGTTAAACCACACAAAAATGGACAGGTTGACGATGTGGAAGGAGTGGTGGAATGGGTCAAGTATATTTTTAGTCACGAATTTAACGGTAATGTCAGCGTGTCCTCTCCACTCTCCCTTCTTTTGATTTTCTCAAACCACAAACACATTTGAAGACAACAAACTCACTCCCTCTCCCACATCCAAATCTCCCATACGAATTATTACAAGGAGTTTTGTTAGGACTCGCAAATCTCAAACAACCAGGTCAGTGGCCAACAAGAACAGAGAGAGAGACAAGTCCATTATACTTTTATGCTTAATCAGACGAGCGCCACATATTCAAACTGACAAAAAACGACATAGATCAAAAACTACTAGTCTATCAACATGCCAAAGGAAGTCAAGGAGAAGGCCAGTCGTGCCTCAAAGAAGACGGACGGAAAGAAACAAAAGAAGGTATACATCCCATGGCATTATATTGTCATTTGATGCCATCGTCTCCCATTCCACCATCACAACAAATCAAACTGATAAGACGGAATGACAACATACATTACCAAACATTCCATCAAATGAAGAATCGCTGATTCGTTTGATTTCATGTACATACATGAATATCAATCATTCTTCTTCCTCTTTTTTCGTTTATTAACACATCCTCCCACTTTTGTTTTGATTTCAAAAAACATAGGCAAAGGACCCAAATGCCCCCAAGAAATCATTGGTATGTATTCTATCATCATATACTCATCCATTCAATCGCCATTTAATCAACCATACCATCTTTTTAGACTGCTTTCATGTTGTTCTCCAAGGAATACAGGTACGGACCACACACACAAGATGATTGATTACATCCCGTCATTATCTCATCATACGCACTAGACCAAAAATCAAGGAAGAGAACCCGGATGTTACTTTCGGTGAGTTTGTCATTACACTTTACTTTTATATTTACGGATTGTCCATAAAGTCGGTGCACAGTCGTATGCCTCGGAACGATCTGATTCGCACATATATGGATCCAGCGTCTTGCTGCGAGTCGATTCATGTATATAAATCATGGTGTGGTCGAATGTCTGACTTGTTTTGTTGTGTTTTCGTAGGTGATGTTGGAAAACTCTTGGGTGCTGCTTGGAACAAACTCTCTGACAAGGAAAAGGAGGTAAGTTATTGGGATTTTATCGTGATCGTGTCATTATTCATGAGGTGTCGTTGTGTGGATTGCAACATTGTTGATCATACACCGCGATAGCTTCACTTTTTTCGCACTCTATTGAACGCGTTTGCTCATGCTCCATCGTCTCAATCTATCCATGTAGCCATTCAAAGCTTTAGAAAAGGAAGCCAAGGTCGAATATGAAAAGGTGCTCGCTGCCTACAATGTACGTATTAAACATTTGCTGTATTTTTTTGCTCTCGTTGCAACCAAGTCGTACTTATAACCAACTCACACTCTTTTCTCCTCCATAGAAAACCAAATCAGCAGCAGCAGCCGATGATGACGAAGATGCCGAAGACGATGATTAAACGATCAACACCTACACACACAACGCTACACACATATATTTTGGCCCAATTTTGTTATACACATTCAAGACGTAGACGACCAACCATAAAAATGGCAAAATAATGATGGATGAGAGAGAGTAGTGGTGGGGGACACGAGAAAAAACGGTTTTGGGGTTATTGATGTTTATGTACTTATTTTTTTTTTGTTCTTTATGGATTTGTTTTTCTTTATCAACACACGCAAAATACAAAATATGAGCCTGCTGCTTGATATGTAATCGTGGTCTCGATGCTGTTTGATAGTGTTGGGTTTAAACTGAAACTGGAGATAGGTTGCTGATGCTGAAATGAATGGCAAAGAACGACTTGATAATGTACGACACTCTTGATCTTGGATTTTGCTTGATAGGATCCCATCCTTAGCACGAAGCAGCAGGCATCCATTGCCATGTTACAGGAGCCACTTTCGATGGCAAAGTAGCGACCTTGGAGTATGCACCCAGACCGTTTAATGTGTCCTATTGATACAAAACATGTTAGTTTGCTGCTCTAATAATACAACCACCTGTGGTGCCTTACAAGGATTTCAAGATGGAAGGCAGTATGGAAGTTACATGTTGGTCCTACGAAATCTTCATTTTAGCATCAAAACAAATAATGAAGATTCCACTGAAGTATAAGCACATTACCATGACAAGCATCAATGACCTTTCCAATAATGGTTCCAGATATACCTGTAATGGGAAATTGTAAGCTGAATCTTCAATGAAAGTATAGGCAAGGGATGAATCACGTACCAGTTATCTTGATACATTTGCCACAGTACTTGGTATCGACGCTGTCAGTTGCCATTCCGGTTCCGTCTGCGTTGACGGCGATTCCGTATACGCCCTAGTTAAAGAAATGGGTGAGTTAGACTGTTTGGTAGAAGTATGAAGCGATGTCGTCTGAATGATTATCGCAAATGAAATCCAAAGGATGCTAATTATTCATCTTTTCTTAATCATCGCCTCTGTCGTCCACCAAAAAAAAACGGAAACGCCAAAGTAAAAGCACGCAAACAGCACAAACTCACACTCTTCAACACCACACTCCCACAAGTCCCCACAGTTCGATTCTCAAAGCTCACGAAACCCGTAATGGCGACATTCGTGCTCTGTGGGTTCTTTGCGGCGGATAGCTCCAAGCTGGTTAGGTATGGCATGGATTGTAAGAGAGCAGACGGATTTGGAACGGGAGATGGAATTGCTGGCATTTGAAAGTCAGAGGGCTGAGGAGGAGGCTGTCTATAGCCGGTGTTGTTTGATCCGGATGCTTTTTGGGCGTTGGTGGAAGTTAAGAGGATGGCGAGGATTGTGATGAGGATGGTGGGGATGGATTTGGTCATTTTCGTGGATCCAATAAGAGTGGAAGATTGAAATATAGAATGAGTTCTGATTTGAGTATTTGAAGGAAAAGACTTGGCGAAAATGTGACGCTCATCGGAACTTTTTCTCATCTGTCAAACACTCACTATTTCCCTCTTGCGTGATGCGAAACCAAACATCCATATTTCATGTATCAGGACTTCTTTTCAACAATTATACGTTCTATAACTATACATGATCTATACACGCAACCTTCGCACACACTCAAAACACTCCCTGCCATCCTCACTCTCATCAAACAAAACCCCACACCGTCCACTTAACACACCTTCCAGCTCTCTCGCTTCCTTCTTCCATCCCGACACCGGCACAGTAACATAACTCGCAACCCTCACAACCAACAGCCTCAAACTCTTCACACCATTGACAAGTCCCTGTATATCCGATCTCTGGTACTCCAGACAGCACGCTTCCCCATCAACCACATCATATCTCGTGGGATGCACCATCAGCACTTTCAAGCTATGCATCGTCTCAGCAACAGCAACCAAGATGTCAGGCGTACAGTATCCAGCAGGCAGAGCCAGTTTCTTCAAGCTACAACATGCGGACAGCACGTCTCGGAATGGCATATCAGCTCCCTGATTTATTGTAGGCGGCCCCCATGCATTGACATCCTGTACATTCGCAGCAACAACATCCGGATTACCCAACGTCGCAACAACCATATTAGCCAGTCCGCCACCGCCGAGCGCGAATAGCGTGCCTGCTGGAAACACCACTCCTGCACCATTACCATTCACCCCTGTTCCTTCATACATGAATGTCGTCAACCCGTCCTTGCGTGATACATCTCTGAGTAGACTTGCACCATCAATTATCGGGGTATTGTTTCCACGGTTAGGGATTTGGAAGACGATTTCTTTTATGTGGGTGAGTGTGGCTAGGGAGCCCCGGTATGCTAGGGATGCGAATTCGAGTTTTTGGAGGTTGGGCAGTTGGGATGCGAGACGGTCGAGGTCGAAGCCGAAGGGTGCTACTTGGAGCCCTTCTATGCGGAGAGAGGTTATTGTGGTGTTGGGGAGGGCGGCGAGGAGTCTGTGGATACGGTCGCTGTAAGAGAAATGGGGTTAGAATTTTGAGTCTGAAACCGCCGATTTCGTTTTGGCTCGCCTAAACGGGCTCCATGCGTTGTCAGGTCCTACGAGCATGCAGTCTAGATGTTTTATGCTATAATATTGTGATGATGTGAGCAAAATGGGATAACACTCCAACACTCCGGTTTAACCCAACTTTTTCAACATACTTCTGAGTAGGCCGATTCTGGAAATGCTTGACAAGAGCCTCAATAGTAGCCGATCCATCCGTACGTGTATATAGCAGATTTATAGCCTCGATGTTCTCACACTGTGATAATGTGACAGAGAGATACGCTAATGCCGATGATCCACCGCAAACCAGCGCCGTGATTTGAGCGAGAGGCAGTATCGATAGCGTATTTCGAAGCTCGGGGTATCCTTTACTAACATCATCGTTGAAATTAGCGAGATTTAGCGTTGTGATGTTGTCTCGTAGTGCAGTATCCTGTAACAGCAGCCGAGTCGGCCAGTTTGGTTCAGCTGGGAATGTCTTCCAGTACTGTAGAGCCTATGTATAAAAGAATGGTTGGTATGGCAGATACTGATGCGATGTGCAGTCAAACGTTTACAAATGAGGCCAATCTCCATGATCTCGAGACCAATGCTAGTTTCCAATAGATGTGTGGATTGTCTTTTAGAGATAGGTATGAGAAGATCTCTAGGAGGATCTCTTGTGGGAGGGCTGGTTGGTCTTCATCAGCTGGCATTGTTGTTTGATGTGTCTGTCCATATGTTCGTTGTTTAGGAAGATTTCGTTGGATGCAGGATGTGGTGCTTTCTACGTGTAAATCACGTGCATTTATGCTTTCTATTTCTATAAGCTGATTTTTTGATTTTGTCGATATTGACCGCGTACGGTTCTCCTATAACCAGATCGATCAGCTCAGCATCTGAGTTCGAAAACAAGAGAATCACATTTATACCCAATGAATCCGTCTACTGGGAAGAAGAGAGGAGATCCAAGTACCCCATCGTCACCTAGACAGTACAAGAGGCAAAGGACGATCGCGACACGTTCGTGTGCATTATACGTTATTCGTAAAGTCGCTTTTTGCTCACACATTTCCTCATTCTTTGACGCACATAGCTACAGATTCAAGTACAGCAACCTTGAGCGCACCTTTACCAGACACAATTACCAATGATCTGGGTCTTGACAAGGTATGCATCGTACCTTGCGTGTGTGCAAAACATTCCAACATTCACAACCAGTAAAATCACAAATTGCCAACTTGTATTAGCACCCACAGCCATCAGGCCCATACCTCCCATCCCTCCTCACAACACTCGTAAACCCCAAAATTGCATCCCCAGAATCAGCGTTCTCTTCCAAAGTCAAGGATCGATACCTCTCCCTCGACAATCCACCTCGTGATGCTGCTAAACGCAAGGCAGCGAGACTACGATCAAAGAAATTGAGACAGGGTAAGAATAAAAAGGAGAAATTGAATGCTAGTGATAAGAGGAGGTTGGGGGTTTATGATGTGCCAAAGGAACAGTGCAAGTGAGTGTTGAGACATTCAGCGAAAAGTTCCGTGGTTTTTTTTCTCTTTACTGATTCAACGATTGTGATACAGATATAAACTGTTTGAACCATTACACGAGCTATGGAATCAGTATATGAAGGATTTGTTGGGTGATTCGAACAATATCGTGGCTGCTATTGCGTTGCCAAAGATACTCAAGGCTGATTTTCATGGATGTTTGCTTACTGGTGCGTGTTTGTTGAGTGTATCAGTTGGGTTGTGAAAGACAAGTCCGTCATGCTGTCTGCATATTTTGACAGTTTTTTGTGCTTGTCAAGTAACGATTCAATACACACCTAACTCATTTACTGTCATGCGAAATAGTCATACGCTCGAAATGCCCCTCATACATCGGCACAACTGGAATCCTGTTTAAAGAAACTGAAAAACTGTTTCATCTAGTTACTGCTGATGATCAAGTCAAACGTAAGTTCGAGTACCGATTGCCGATGTACTGGTTTGAAGTGAAACATATTTACTCCCTGTCCCATCGTGTTTTGCTCACTCTTAACATGTCCAACTCTAGTAATCCCAAAATCAAACTCTGTATTCTCATTCAGTCTAAACACCACGGTCTTCACTCTATTTGGAAACCATCTAATGTCGCGTGCATCTGAACGTGCTGCAAAGAAATACAAGTACAAGTTTACAATGGATTTGTGACTTTCGTTCTCGAGGATGTTGGAGATTAAGGGTCGAACGAATTTGTAAATTGCATTGTAATACATATAATATATCTATTTAAATGATACTACTCTTTGCTATGTCTCAAAACTCTGACGTCTTTCGTGATGAATCTTTCCGAATCGTGAGCTGAGTTTAAAATTCTTAGTGAATCGCAACAACCCTTTAGGAAATAGAGAGGCATAGACTAGAGAGAGAATCTAGATGGAAGATCCACAGAAACGGCGGCTTGCTCGGGGTGTCTCGTCTGGATTCATGGGTGGTTTCTTTCTAAGTAGGATCTTTGCAGATTCTTCGCAATCTAATTTGTGCTAACGTTGCTTGCTCTACTAGGCATTGTAGCGCATCCATTTGACATTGTAAGTTATCTGATGAATGGAATTTGATCGGTGGTAGCATCAATCTGTAAAGCTGTGTTGGCATTCAACATCACTTTGGTTTGCTGGAATTCAATCCCAGACCATTGCTCAAAACCTTTTATCCAATGTTTTGATTGAACTGTTGGATGTTATATCTGTGATGGATCTCGACAATCGGTGGATCCTTGCATCCTGGTCAAATCTTCACAGAAGTTTTGGCATTTTACTACATTCCAGATGTGTTTTTTGGCCCGATCTAAAGAAGTACTACTGACGCAACTCACTCACCCTCTCATAGATCAAAGTACGCTCCCAAATAAACTCTTCCAACCCAGCATACTCATCCACCTACCGCGCAGCCCGTGAAATCATCAAACTCGATGGACCTAGAGGTCTTTACCGGTTAGTATTGACATTAGCTTGCTCCGGATTGATAAACACTGCAGGCGACACTTCGAACTCTCAACTGATAACGGAAGGTCCAACTCGACTCATTTCTGGTTTCCATGTATAGGGGCATCACACCGTCAATACTCGGAACAGCACCCGTAATCACACTCGTTTATTCGACGTACTCGACGATGCAGATCGTGTTTAACAACTGGTTTGGACCGTTTGGGCATGATCATTTACCGCTGAATGAGGTGCTGCCGATTCATTTTCATATGCTGGCTGGATCGTGAGCGTGCATTGGATATGTGCTGTTTTGCATGAAGAATGCTGCTGACGTATATCTTATTACAGATGTGCAGCGGTAACGACAGCGACGGTACTCGCTCCAGCAGATAGAGTGAAAATCACGCTGCAAATGAGCGAAACGTCCATGCGTGCCAAGAGCAGTCAGTCGTCTGTGCTGGGTATAATACAAAACATTGTCAAGACTGGTGGGTTTAGGAACCTTTTTAGAGGTGTTTTGGTGACTATGATGCGTGATGTACCAGGTATGTCGAAAAACAAACCAATCACATTTCTCTGACCGGTATTTTGACTCACTGAATTCCACCTACAAGGCAACTCAATATACTATGGCGTCTACGAATACGCACGCCGCAACTGGAAGAGGGAAATAGGGCCCGTCACACCACTTTCCGTTGTACTATGTGGGGGCCTTGCTGGAATAACATCCTGGACTGTCGTGTTCCCTCTCGATACAATCAAGTCACGGTGGCAGTATTCTGCTTTAAGGAGACCTGGACATGCTGTATATAACTCACCATGGGATATCGTGAGAGAGACGATAAAACATGATCCGCACGGCGTGAGGGGGCTCTATAGAGGACTGCCTGCTACGTTGCTGAGGACTATACCGGCTTCTGCGTCTTTCTTTGCTGGGGTGGAGCTTGGGTGTCATGTGTTTGACCGGTTTGTGCCTGCGGGGGGCGTTGGTGGACAGTTGGCTCGGATATAAAGTTGCTGTCGCTTAGAAAGACTGATACCGCTAGAAATACCCAAATAGAATAATACGCCCTCATAGATTTATAAGAGACCAAGTGTTTTATAGTTGTGTAAATTATAATACAGATGTTTTGATTGGAAACCGTTTCGAGATAAACGTTTTGGGTTTTTTATACATTATAACGTTTGTCGGGGGCAAAGATTCAGCAACACAGGTGTTCTCTCATCATCATAATCGTCACCAAAATGACTCCATCAACACGGAAGTCAAAAGAAAAACACCCTACAATTATTATTACTCACGACTGTCTGGCCCTCTCCTTTCCCTTTGATCTCGCCGCCCCATCAGCCTCCGCCAGCACCCGACTCGCATTAACCAGCTGCACCACATTCGTAACCTGCTTGAACCCAAACACTGGCAAACACGTCCACCAAACTCCAACAACAAACCACGTCAACCACACATCCATCTTGCCCCAATTACTCACATCCTGGTGCGGCGCCAGGATGTAGCTGCTCATAAAAAACAGCTCGTTGCCTGCACATACGAGGAACAGGACTATAGCGTTCGAGTAGTATAGACGGAGCAGCGGGTTTGCGTTTTTCGGGATTTGTTTATGGGATATGGCACCCGACATCATTGTCGCGTACATGTGCATGTAGTGAGAGGATATGTCGAGGGAGAGGAGGATTTGGAAGATTAGGGTGTAGGATGGGAGGAGGTGCGAGAGGGTTAGCATTAGACAGGCGGTTGTGCAGCGATCTGTCACCATGTCGAGGACTGCGCCGAATTTCGTTGCTGTGTGAAGATTAAAATCGATGTAATTAGCATTGTATCGTTTGCTGGAGTTCAAGTCATAATACACGACAGATGTGTGATGTTTTCATAAATCACCTATTACAACCCCATCTCTACTGTCAAGTTACCTTGATTGAGTTGCCTAGCAGCACTCCCATCAGCAGCATCTAATATACACGACAGTCCATACAGTCCCATGGCTCCCCATGGCGAGCTCGGTAGTAAATAAAAGCTCCAAAGTGCTAATGCTACTCGTATATATCCTATTAGATTCGGCACAAACAAAAAGATGTTTTCCTTCATTTAGAGCTAGCTGGTGCAACGCTGTTCTGCTATTGAGCCGTGTCTCTTCTCTCCTGTCTACTCGTTCGACGTGCTTATAACTGGTTTTGGTAGAACAAGGTAAGGTCGGGTAAGCTTTTGAACCAGCCTATGTCGAAGGATGTAAATCGGTGGAGATAAGTGATTTCGGATTTCTTTAGCGTTATGACACGTTCTCACTTCTCCGCATGGAAGTTTCCGTCAACATCGCATCGGTACTACTTCGCCTAAAGTGCACACAATGACAGATCGCAAACTCGAACGACTTTGACTCATTATACGATTATACTATTTTTGTAGGTTTGTAATCCATGGATATATGAGAGATGTAAATACTTGATGTTCCAAAGCAAAAAAAGGCTACCCATCAACCGATCAATACACATTTGTAAAAGTGATGTTATCACACCACGCTCTCCATCTCCCACACACCATGTCTCATCCACCCATTCACACCTCCACCTCCACCCATATCCAAATCCACGTCCTCACTCCCAAACTCCCTCTTACACCATTTCAACTCTCGAACCATCTCAACACCAGCACTACACAGTGGCAAAACAGTCCACCACACACTCCCATTACTCAAATGCATCAATTGGATTTGTAAGTTCGATGGTGGTATAAGACCTAGACGTTGCAGACGTGTTACGGTTGTGGTGAAGATGGTGAAAATGTGCTGGTATGTTGTAGTGTTGTTGGTATCGGAGGAGAGGATTGTGTGGAATGGTGGAAGTGGTTGTTGCATTCCTTTGGATATTGAGCTTGCTGCGAGCTCTTTTTTTCCGCTGTGAATGATCCTTAAGTATGTTCAACAACGTGAGATCAGATCATAGGTTGCTCAATAAGCGATTACAACATACCCTCTCTTTATTCAAGCAAGTATAAATCGAATGTCTGAATCCAAAGATGAAAGACACAAACGTACCTTAAGGCGTACTCCACGACTGAACATCAAAATGCAGGCGTAAACCAGTAAACCACAGACAAAGCAAAGGAAAATCAGTAGTAGCGGAGTTTGATAATGGATGCTATCTCGTAGAGCCTTATAAATTTAATGCTGTTAAATTCGAAAATTGCTAGAGCGCGGTCAAGTTTAAGTGCTGA